ACGTCCAACCGAAAAAGCCTGCTCATTGCACACACCACCCGACAACTATTCGACAAACTTGAAAAACATATATATATATATATTATAGTTCCCCAGATAGCAAAGCTATGGGGTTCTTACTTCAAACAACAATGAGTTGCCCGTGCGCGCTTTCGAGACAGGTTGCTGGTGCTGGGTGAGGGTGCTGGTGCTGGTGCTGCTGCCGGTACTGGTGCTGTGAGCTGGCTGCGCGCGCGGTGGAGACGGGTTGCTGGTGCCGGTGCTGGTGCTGGGTGCTGCTGGTGCTGGTGCTGTGAGCTGCCTGTGCACGTGGTGGAGACAGAATGTTGGTGCTGGTGCCGGGTGCCGGTGCTGGTGCTGGGCGCCGGGTGCCGGTGCTGGTGCTGTGAGCTGGCTGTGCACGTGGTGGAGACAGGTGCGGTGCCGGTGCTGGTGCTGGTGCTGCGAGCTGGCTGTGCACGTGGTGGAGACAGGTTGATGGTGCTGGTGCCGGGTTCCGGTGCTGGGTGCCGGGAGCCGGTGCTGGTGCTGGTGCTGTGAGAGGTGGAGACAGGTTGCTGGTGCTGGTGCTGGTGCCGCGTGCCGGTGCTGGTGCTGGCGCTGTGAGCTGGCTGTGCACGTGGTGGAGGTGGAGACAGGTTGCTGGTGCTGGTGCCGGGTGCCGGTGCTGGTGTTGCTGGTGCTGGGCGCCGGGGCTGTTTTCGGATCATTTTTTCACCAGATAGCGAAGCTATGGGGTTCTTACTTCAAATAGTAATGAGTTGCCCGTGCGTGCTTTCTAAACAGGTTGCTGGTGCTGGGTGCCGGTGCTGGTGCGGGTGCTGTGAGCTGGCTGTGCACGTGGCGGAGACAGGTTGCTGGTGCTGGTGCTGGTGCCGGGTGCCGGTGCTGGTGCCGGGTGCCGGTGCTGGTGCTGGGTGCAGGGGCCGGTGCTGCTGGTGGAGACAGGTTGCTGGTGCTGGCGCTGGGTGCCGGGTGCCGGTGCTGGTGCTGGTGCTGTGAGCTGGCTGTGCACGCGGTGGAGACAGGTTGCTGGTGCTGGTGTCGTGGCGCTGGGTGCTGGGTGCCGGTGCTGGTGCTGGTGCTGTGCACGTGGAGAGAGGTTGCGTGCTGGTGCCGGGTGCCGGTGCTGGTGCTGGTGCTGGGTGCTGGTGCTGGTTCTGGTGGTGTAGCTTGCATATATGTGGCGATCTTTTTTGGTCCAGATAGCGAAGCTATGGGGTTCTTACTTCAAAAAACAATGAGCTACCTGCGCGCGCTTTCGAGACAGGTTGCCGGCGTGGCGCTGGTGCGCGGTGAAAACAGGGTGCCGGTGCCGGTGCTGGTGCGGGCTGTGGTGCTGGTGCTGGGTGCTGTGAGCTGGGTGCACGCGCGGTGGAGACACGGTGCCGGTGCTGGGTGCTGGCAGTGCGCATGGTAGAGACAGCGGGCGCCGGTGCCGGTGCTGTGAGCTGGCAGTGTGCGGGGATACTTCTTGGCCTTGGGCAAGTAAAGCCTGCGGGCTTTGCCGATTGTGCGCATACTTTTGTGCGCATAAACTTATACGCGCAAGATCACGGCCTTATCCTTCTGCAGATCGTTGCTTCAAGCGCGCTAGAAAGTCAATAGTGGCGCTGGATACTGCTTGGCCTTGGGCCAATGACACTTACGGGCTTTGCTGTTTGCGCGCGTAAACTTACACGCGCAAGATCATACGTTGTTATTCCCCAATGGGGTTTGTGCTGCAAATAAGAATGACAATGAGCTGGCTGCGCGCGCTTTCGAAAGGGTGTCGGTGGTGCTGGTGTTGTGGGCCTGGGTGCTGGTGCTGTGAGCTGGCTGAGCGCGCGTTTCCGGCGGGCGGCGGCGCTGGTGCGGGTGTCAGCTGATTGTGCGAGGTGTCGTAAGCTGGCTGCGCAGGCTGCGTACATTCTTGTTCCAGCCAGTCGCATGTCAACAGGTTGTGGGATTCTGCCTATAGCTGCTATAGCTATCTGGGTCTATGGTGGTGTAATTGCCCAGATAGCGAAGCTATGGGGTTCCTACTTCAAATAACAATGAGTTGCCCGTGCGCATTTTCGAGACAGGTTGCTGGTGCTGGGCGCCGGTGTTGGTGCTGGTGCTCTTACTTCAAGTAACAATGAGTTGCCCGTGCGCGTTTTCGAGACAGGTTGCTGGTGCTGGGTGCCGGTGTTGGTGCTGGTGCTGTGAGCTGGCTGTGCACATGCATGGTGGAGACAGGTTGCTGGTGCTGAGCTGGCTGTGCATGGTGGAGACAGGTTGCTGGTGCCGGTGCTGGGCCGGGTGCCGGTGCTGGTGCTGGTGCTGTGAGCTGTGCACGTGGGAGACAGGTTGGTCACAGGTTGCTGGTGCTGGTGCTGGGTGATTCTGATGGGTGCCGGCTGCACGCGTGGTGGCGCCGGTGCGGGTGCTGGTGCCGTGAGCTGGCTGTGCGCGTGTGATGCCGGTGCTGGTGGTGCTGGTGGTGCTGGTTGTCGGGTGCCAGTGTTGGTGCTGTGAGCTGGCTGTGCGCGTGGTGGAGACAGGTTGCTGGTGCTGGGTGGCGCGTGCTGGCGCTAGTGCTGGTGCTGTGCGGTGCCGGTGCTGGGTGCAGGGCGCCAGTGCGGGTGCTGGTGCTGGGCGCCGGGTGCCGGCGCTGGTGCTGCTGTGAGCTGGCAGCGCGAGCGGAGGTCAACCGCCGCTTCTGACAGTGAAGTGCCCCCAGTCATGGGCCGCATGAATTTATGCATGCAATATCATATGGTGTTGTCGCTTGAGCGTTCTTTGTCTATGAGCGCTGTGGTGTATTTACACTCTTCAGGTTCTGTTTTGGCGGACGGCTGTGTCAAGGGCTGTACTGTTTGCGCGCATACACTTTTGTACGTACAATGTTCTATGCGCAACGTCAGCCTTGGGCGAGTGAAGCCTACGGGCTTTGCCGTTTGTGCGCATTCTTTTCTGCGCATAAACTTATACGCGCAAGATAATACGGCCTTATCGTTCTACAGATCGTTGCTTCAAGCATGATACAAAGGCAATAGTGGCGCTGGATACTGCTTGGCCTTGGGCCAATGACACTTACTTATGGGCTTTGCTGTTTGCACGCATACTTTTGAACGCATAAACTTATACGCGCCAGATCCCACTAGGGATAGCTATGGGGTTCCTACTGCAAATAAGAATGAGCTGGGCGAGTGCTTTCGAAGGGGTGTCGGTGCTGGTGCTGTGGTCCTGGGTGCTGGTGGCTGAGCGCGCGTTTGCTGGTGCCGCCGCCGGTGTTGTCAGCTGGCAAAGCGCTCCGGTGCTGGTCAGCTGGTTGCGCGCGCTGTGGAAGCGCCGTAAGCTGGCTGTGCGTGCAGGCTGTGTACATTCTTGTTCCAGCCAGTCGCATGTCAACAGGTCGTGGGATGCTGCCGCTATCTGGGTCTATGCTGGTTTATTTTGCGCACTGATTCCAGGCTGTCATAAGCGACCGCCTTCCTATGATGGATGAAGTTGAGCGCGGCTTCAAAGAGAAGTATGAGGTGCGGACGAACACTTTGACATTCCACCATGCTATCGTCTAGGCCCGAGGCTCCACTTAGAACAGCGTAGGAGATGGTTTTCTTCTTCATTACCTTGATTCCAACGACTCAAACACTCTCCTTTCCTTTTTTTCCCTGTGCCTGCTGAACGGTGAAGACACGACGTGCTTTGGATTGAACGTGTTCCTGACATCACTTAGCCGGCACTGAAGGTCAATTGATCAGGGTGAGTGGCAGCAGATGCTGAATGGATTTCTTGTGAATCACCTCGTATCGAACTCAAGTCTAGGACCTTCAAAAGACTCTGGCGGAAGTGAGAAGGTGGGTGGCTGGTGATGAGGGCGAAATAAAGTGCACATGCCGATTGTGTGGAGTTTGGTAAATTTTTTCAGGTCCCGCAAGACAAAGAGTGTAACAAACCATCTAAACGAGTTGAACTCCAATTTTTTTTCTTCTTTTGTATTCGTGAAATTTACCCTTTAACCTTTCGCGTTCTATTTTTAATATGGTTTTTTAAAACCAATACATTCAAGCATTTTGTCCACGGCAAACTCAAACTTCGTCCTGTCTTCAATTCCTATCAGTCCTACCCATCAAGGTGTGTCAATTCAATCTTTCTCTTGCCAGGCAGTACCTACACGAGCTCACCGAACATCGGGATCGCATTCGGAATGAGACCCTCAGCATACCAATGCAGGAGATTCTTGATGTGTGAAGAGAGTCTTTGGAAACATTCCATGACCATTCTGAGCATCAAAACGGCAGACAAAACGGTCATTCTTTGATTGAGATGGCAAAATGGTATCGAAGTGTCAAAGGACTACTGGCTGTTCTCCAGCCTTTGTTAGACATGTGGACCATGTGAGGATACGACAAGAGGTTTTGCCAGCACTTATATGCGACACCAAAGAAGTTGTTCACCTATGCTTAATTGCAAAGCATTTCAGCCAAAGCAATATTTGTAGCGGCATTGGCTCGACCTTTGCCACAGGCTGCCCTTGCGGAGATAAGCGAAGAAGACGGTGACCATGCTGTCTATCGTGCCGCTGGCATTCCTTTATATTTATACATTAAGTGTTTTGTTGTCAGTAGTTCACCAATGGGCCAATGGGTAAATAACCAATGCCTGCAACCCGAGAAGCTACGTCGCCTTGTTCTTTGGTAGATTGGGGTCCGGGGTTCCAGACAGAGATTGTGAAGACCAAGCAAGTAGCCTTGCCTGGCTGTGCCTGGCAGAGGTAGCAGTGAGTTCTGCTTGTTGCTTGCATCTAGGATTCCAGCCCGAGTTGGCTTTGGATCCAGCGACCCAAGAGTACTTCAAGGTGGGCGCTGATGGAGCTAAGATTTGCCGTTAAATCTTTTATCCGCCCATGCGCCCGGAAGATCGAGCTAAGAGTTCATGAAACTGTTCGGATTCCGGATGTTTTGGGTTGTGAGCTTTTTGGCTCTGGTTGTTTTGGTTCTGTGTTTTCCGAATTTCACTTTTCAAAGCCAGCAATGGCCATGACATTTGTGAAGCTCGGACTTTTCTCCCTTGCATTGGCAGAGACCAAGAGTGAAGGGGGTGGCCTCAAGGTCCGTCGGGATGGTGTGACCATCCTCCATATCAGCGACACGCACAGCCTGCACCGCTCTGCTGGCGACCTCCCAAGCGCCGACATTTTTATCCATTCAGGTGATGTTTCGCAGATTGGAAGTGATGGTGAGGTGGGCGATTTCAATGATTGGCTGGGGTCCATCAAGGGAAAGTACAGAGAAATGTTTGTCATCTCTGGCAACCACGACTACTGGGATACAAACAAACGCCTCAACCGTGGTTGGTTGGCAGAGTCCGTGGCACAGAACCCTGAATATTTCCAGAATAAGATCACCAATGCCAAAGTTCTGGCTCATGAGTTGGTGGAGGTTATGGGTCTCAAGATTTGGGGTGCTGGTTGGAATCCTCAACGTGGAGACTCTTTCTCTGGAAACAACTATGATGATGTGCCTCAAGGAATTGATATCCTGGTGACGCACGATGCAGCGGCAGGCATTTTTGATTCCAGTGGAGGAGGACGCTGGGGCTCCAGCCCACAGCTACTGGATGCTATCTACCGAACGAAACCCAAAGTTCACCTTTTCGGACACATCCATGAGCAGCGTGGGCACTGGCAGAAGAATGGCAACAGCTTCCAGGGAGGCGTGGAATATCGTCCCAATCCTTCAAGCAGCCAGGTTTTTCGCCAGAATGGGCCACCACCTCAGGACAAGGGCTCAAAAAGAAGGGATAGAACTCAGACAGGCTTTCCAATTGCTTTTCAATACAAGCTGTTTGGAAATTCTTGTAACGTTAAACGTCACCTGGTTGAACGCCAAGTCTCAGGACTATCCTGTGGAAGTGGAATCCAACAATGCTATGGCTAATCAGCCGGCAGTGGACCATAGCTGGACTGGAGTTTGGGCACCACAACACCTCGTAGGGCGCCCACGGCTGATCACTGCGAAGAGGCAAGGTGATTCTTGGCACTTCACATCCGAAGTGCTTTGAAACTCAACAAGAGATCAGAAGTGCACTTCATGCAAACCTTTGAAGCTGGCTTCATCAACACAATGAAGCTCCTTGCTTTCAATCCAACCAGACACTTTCGGCTTGATTACCGCTTGTAGCCCTCAACTGTTTTGTATTGTGAGCGCACTGCCGAGCCTCACATGACAATTTTGATCTACAGTGTTGGCAAAGGCGAACACATGTAGGTGATGCAGACAAGAAAGTCTGCCAATATCAGACGTGGAATGTGAGAGTTCTGGCCTACTCCAATACAAGAGCCAACACCACATTTCACAACCTGCAATGGCGGCACTTATGGACGGCCCCGATGCATGCTAGACAGATTTGTCACATGCAGGTGCCGTTTGTGCCTCCAAGCTCTTTCTTTTCCCTGAATTAGCGCCATGAAGGCACTTCCCGGCATCAGGAAAACAAGGCAGGCATTGTGAGAAGTGAAGTCCACGAGCCTGGGATTCAAGCTTTGTTTCGTTCTGTATGAGTTTTTTGTTGGCTTATTTGTCATTGGCAGCGGTGGCAATTCTAGTTTTGCTCTTAATTTGCATTACTCTACACACACACACACACGGACTCATTTCTGAAGCTACTCTACTTGGGAATTGGGAGAAGTACCAGGCAGCGATGCAGGAGAACATGAAGGTGGCGCTGACCAAAGGTGCCTGTTGATGGTGACTGTCCGTCAAGAGCCAACAGGCAATAGAACTTGTACATTGTTCAGAAGTTGTCGCGAGTCATCTGCCAAGACACGAGATTTGTTTGTAGAATTTGGGCGCCAGGTGCTGCCGCAGCAGGTGAGACTATGTGCAACCAGCCAGATTTGGGAGGGGAATGGTTGCATGTTGGATAGGTCCAATGGACTTGCGGACACTGGCAGACCAGATATCGAATAAAGAGAAGAAAAGAAGAGAAGGGCTCCTTGATTGAGGAGCTCTCTTTAAATGAGGCCTCATTAAAAAGCTCCTTACCTTCAGTTTTTCTTCTCTTTAATTGATTGCTATATATATATATAGGTATCAGGACAAATGCTTTCAACTAGGTCTTGAAAACTTCCACCAGCGGACCGGCGTGTGCCTCCAACTTGCCAGACAACTGCTGATGAGCCAGCTGAAAGAAGCTCAAGTGGAGTTCTGGACTTATATAGATTCTTCATAGAACTTAGCATATTTGCATGAGCAATGATGCGCAACAGGACACCATGTGGCTGTAAATCTGCTGGGTGTCGTGCTGCCACTAGTCTGAAGCACATCTGAGGGTGGACCGACTGAAAGAGCAGTTGGTCGCGGCCCTCAGCATGGAATAGTTGGTAGAGAAGGATGTTTGTGTATGTCAATGGACGGCTTATGTCCCATTCCTGGGTTGTGGACAGAGGTGAACGCAAAATCGGTCTTACCCACTTGTTAATTTGCAAGTCAAGCCCTCAACTTGAGTTGTGCCTTCTGAGAGTAGCACTTGATTCAGGAATGAGACCAGCTCCTTTGGGTCAGCCCTATGTTCACCTTCTGTTTTGGGTGCATGTAACTTCCCTCAATAGGAACCTCAGCTCTCCTTTGTCCTTGCTATGAGCTTACTACTAGACAGTAGCTTAGTATCTCTCACCCTCTCAGCCACCTATTCCTCTAAAACAGAATAGAACTGTAGTCCTTTTCCCTGTTCAGTTGTGAACTTGTTCCTTTGCGGCTCAAGGACGATGCATTGCTGCAAGCCAAGTTGAACGAGACCACTGAAAGAAGGGTAGTAGCGGCCCCCAGGCGATGGTCGCGGAGAGAGCCCGTGCGGCCAAGCCGAAATGTTGGATGCAATCGGCACGAACACGAAGCAGATCCTATGCCGTATTTTTTGCAAGTAGAACCTAGAAGCAATGGCCTCCACCATACTAGCGATGGCCTCCAACCTAGAAGCATAGGATCCATCCATTTGTTTTAGAGCACCTTAAGATGCAGCGGTTTCATTTGTTTCATCTCCGCTCCACTCCCAGACGGTGGACAGTCAAGTTGTTCATTCTAATCGAGGTTTCCTTGTTTCTAATAGCTTCTTTGTTACTACTAGTAAGGCACCTGTTACTACTAGCGTGGCACTTGTTTCTAGTAGCTTCTTTGTTACTACTATATATAGTCCTACAATACCTTGAAATAAATACCTTTCAGACCTCAGACGTCCACCCGCAAGGGGACCTACCGCTGACAATGGAGAGGCACATTGTCGCAGCAAACATTGGCTGCACAGTTTTTTAAACCACGAGATGTTCAAGACGAGCAAGCCTTTCCATTTTCAACAGGGCTGACATGGAACACTTTATCAGTTCAACTTCAACGATGTAGGTCTTCATATACATGTACTGTTTGGCCTCGCTGGATGCAAAACATGGACGCAAACATGGCCTCAGAATTGTCAGGGCGAAGTTCAGTACAAGCACCAAGACAATCTTGAACTGAAGTAAAGCCGTTTGAAAGACCGTCGCATGTACTGTTGCGCTAGCAGGCCAAGAAACTGCAATCTGAGATCGAGACCTTAAAGATGGAGTTCGGAGCCTCTGCCAGACTGGGTGCAAACACGTGTACACGTCGGTAAGGAACCTGCATGAGAAGGGCCTCCCGGTCCTCCGCCTTCTCCTCCTCCTCGTCCTCCTCCTCCTCCTCCCGCCGCTTACAGACACCAACTCACACACTCGAGAAATTGCGTACTGAACTGAAAGCCACTCGCCACACAGCGACCTAGGTAACCATAATCCTGAGAAAATCATGTAAGGGGGCTGATCATCTCTAGTCATTAGGAGGCCAAAGGTCAAATCCAAGAAAGATCTCAAGAATCTCCAAGTGCCAAAGCGAAAGTCGAGCGGTCGACAAGGACGACGAGACGTGCAGAGTCTGCCGACCTACCTCCACCTAAACAGGCTGAAAGTAGAATGGGATGTAGCTATAGTAAGTTGCCAGCACTTAGAATATAGAGTAACTCAGATTTCTTGAATTTATAGCCATATTCCAAGTGCATCCTGAAAACAGTAACTGCTAAATGCAACGAACCCACATAGAATACAAACGATGCCTGCATTTAGAATGTAAACTTGTTTGCTTGCTTGCTTGCTTGCTTGCTTGCTTGCTTGCTTGCTTGCTGCATTGTTTGCAACAAATGGCTGAACAAATGGCTAACTTGGTGTGCCAGCACAGTTGGCCGCCTTATGTTCTTTGATGCATATATATACACACGTGCATGTTCCAAGATTCTAAGTGCATATCCTCGTATTCTAACTGCATGCGGCCAAAGCAGAAATACATTTGATGTGGTTTGCGAATTCTATCTGCAAGTAATTGTTCTTAGCAGGTTCTAAGTGCTAACAACTTACTGTATCAACACTCACAAATCACAAAGTTGGACCATCGGGCACAGTACATGGTTGTCCCCCTGCTCATTGGTAAACCACTCAACGGATTCCCTGTGGTTCCAAGGGTTTCACACAATTCGAACTTGGGTTTTCAGTTATACTCCGTTGTCACGATGGGAAGGA